ATCATATTCATAATATGTAAATTCTATGTATTTAATATTGAATAATTTTAATATCAGCCACGTTAATAATATTAAACTACATGTGATATTTTTAATCGCTCATCTATTTTAAAGAAGACAGTATATAAAATTGTAACCTAATAAATTTTTATTTTCTTGATTAGAGGCAACAATTTTACCATTTTATTTTATTACACCCATTTGATATCCGAAAAATTCGAAAATTGTACTTTTTTTTTTTTTTTTTTTTTGGAAAAGGATTGTATAAAACTAGTTATGTAAAAAATAAAATTAAATAATAAGCTCGCCACCCAAGCGTAAGTCTAAAACAGAAGTTGCTAAACGTACAATTTATTCTACATTATAAACATAAGAAAAAGATATAAAGTTAAAAAGTATAGTTTGTTTAATTGATCCGTCATCCTTCCTAATCCAAGAATTGGACCTGGAAAAATTGATCAATCTAGTAAAAATCGAAAATTATATCTAAGTAAGAATGTTCTTGGTATCTTCGTGAAATGGAGACATCAATTGCTGTAAACTGTTATGATTGATACCTTGGAGATCCAATCTACCATATCCTGCTTCGAAGATGCCTGCAAAATATACGCATTGTTGTTGGTGTATATGGCAAATACGTGTTGTCGCTAATGAAGAAAAGTATTCAATGTAAAAAAACAATCGTTAAAATGAGAAAAATAATTTTTTTTTTAAACTTATATAACTGTTAAAATTTTTTTACCTGAAGCATATCTTCCAAATCTCTTTTATAATCAACTCTGACTGAAGCCAAGTTAATAACACCTTGTTCTTCAGTTTCTTTCTGTGATTCATAGATGAATAAGTATGGTCTATATAAACATCGTAAAATAATTTCATGAGTACGTATAATGGATTTGTTCATAAGGACAACCTGAGTTAATTGATTAAATAAACATACCTTCTCAAGACATACCACTTCTTAACCCAATGATCATCATTAGCATCTTCAGGAGTAAATAGATACCCCTTTTTAGTTATCGTATCACTATGATAGCGGAAATATTATTAGAATCAACAATCATGATAATAAAATAAGAATACTAAAAAATTACTCACGTTTTTGCTACCATCCGAACTTGTGCAACTAATTTTGTTGGTTTCTTTCCTCTTGACAACTCCATGTCATGATAGATTCCTGAAAGTGGTGGTTCTTGGTTTATAACGATCTATTACATAGCAAAAGTTAGTTTATTTATAAATAAATTAGTTTGATATGTGTTAAAATAAATAATTTTAAATCTACCTCTTTTATTGTTCCCCATTTTTTCCTCCAAAGTGTTAAAACCAATTTATATAAATCCTCGGGACTTTGAAGTTGCTCATATTTTTTATTTCCCTTTAATGCAATAATTTGCTTCATACAATCAACTGCTTCCCTTCTACGTAAAAGTTCACTAATTTTTTTATAGTCTTTGACTAATGATACCCCACGCGGTTTCCATTCTCCCAAAAGCTCTTCCCCACGAACATATTTGTTTGCGGTATTCAGCCGCCAAAGTTCGGAAATTTTTCGAGTCATCGGAGGTTTAAGTGTAATGGAAAATAGCCCGCTAGATTTC